CAAAAACATTATGCACCAAAGACACATAGTGGGATTCAAAAATAATTGGAACAACTCTGTGTCCCTGTAAAACAAACTAACCAACCTACACTGACTTAAACATCATGCCTTTGTGTTCACCGAAAAATCTGCATTTCAGCCCACCATAGGCACAACAGAATGAGGTATATGACACAACTAGCACTTAACCTCTAGTCTAGCTAGGCAGGCTGTTGGAGTCTTCCTCTGACTAATTTTGGTTAACTTTGTCCACTTTTGAATACACTATTCAGACCAGTTTTTAGAAATACACTTAAAAGACAGCTTGAATTAATACTAATTGTGTGCTATTAAGTCAATTGTGACTCATGGCAACCCCTTTAAGAATTTTCTAGGTAAAGAATACTCAGAAGTGGTTTGCCCTTCCCCTCTTCTGGGAATACCCAGGGACTGTGCAGCTTGCCCAAGACCACACAGGCTGGCTGCTTCCTGGGAGATACAGTGGGGAATCAGACGCCTGACCTCTGCCTAACTCACTGAACTGCAAGGAAACACTCAAAATTTGAGGAGAGACATAGCTATTATTGGCGCAACAGCAGATCAATACAGTGGGTTCAAGAAAGGAGAATGTGTGATGTGCATGCCCATACTCCCACATACAGAAGTCCCAGAAGGAAAAGAAGTACATCAGCTGCAGAACTGGGCATACTTTCCCCCTTCTTGTGGGAAACTCTTCTGTATTACAGCACTTTAGTTCATACTGCTGCTGCAAAAAAAATACCCTCCTACAAAAGTCTTTTCTCTGTTATACAGGTTTGAAAAAATCCACAGCAGCAGGCCAGTTTGATTATTTCAATGTTTTAAGATACTTTTTTTGGAGGGGGGGGGTCAAAACAAGAACACCTCCAAGTTATTGTGAAAGTTTTGAATTTGCCAGATTTGTTTACAGTAGGATTGCCATATACGCAGAGGATGGGTTCCAAGGCCCTTCCCACCCATACATACTGAAAACTGTGGATAATAGTGAATGCTATATAGTATATATATAGCATGGATTTTTTCCCTTTTATCTATATAGCATGGTAAAAGGGGGGGGGGGTGGAATCCAGAGAACTGGGCACGAGAAGGAGCCAGACCATGCTATGAAATCCAAAACAAGAATACATTGCATGGTCTCTGGTTTCCTCTAGTGGCTAGTTCTAGTAAATACATCATGCAATTAGTATTTTTTTTTTCTTTTAGTATTTTTAATATTTTCAGATCAAGGATAAATGAAACCAGAGATACTGATCAAGCTGATATGGGGGTCCTATTATATATCATATGTACTTCACTCAACATTGTAGTTGGAAAAGCCCTTAAAAGAGCTTTCACATGAGCCTCGTTGCACAATGGTTAAACCACTGTACTGCAGCCAAAACTGTGCTCATGACCTTGGGTTCAATCCCAGGTAGCCGGCTCAAGGTTCACTCAGCCTTCTATCCTTCTGAGGTCGGTAAAATGAGTACCCAGCTCACTGGTGGGACAGTGTATAGCCTGGGTAACTGATTTCTAAACCACCCAAAGAGTGATTTAAGCGCTATGGGATGGAAGTGCTATGGCAACACACCTTGCTTTTTTGCTTTTACCACATTCGCTTAAAAAAACTCACAATCTGGTAAAAAAAAGACACATACAAAAAAAAGGGAGAGGAAAATAAAGAATATCAGACACAGATTCTTCATCATTAAGGTATCCATCGCTTCTCTCCTAGTATGCCCTCTGTACAATCAGACTGCCAACAGTGGAGGTGACAAAATTTTCTGCCACCACTTCGAAAAAGCTTCAGAAGCTGAACCTTTTTCTTCTCTTCAGGTAGAGGGAGAAGTCCACAAAGCTATACAAGGCCTGACAGATATGGGGGGTCCTTTTTTGGGGGGGATTTCAGCTCCCAGCATTCCACAACCTGTATGGCTTGTGTGATTCCAGAAGCTGTAATTCAGAAACAGACATTTCCTACATCTGGTGCCTGGTCTCCAGGAAGCCCTTCCTGGTACCAAAGGACTACATCCTCAGATATCTAGATTTTAGGCTCAGGGTCACTGCAGAAAAGCACAATACTTTATATCTTTTTGGGAAATGAAATATAAAGAAAAGAGAGAGGAAATAACCATGGTAATGGACAGTTATGGTGCAAAATGAACAAGAATTGACCCTGAAACATATGAGAGCAAATGGCTTCAGGACACAGAAAAGTTCCCGCTTGTTAAGAAATCTCACAGCACTCTGTGGTTCTGATTGTCTTATGTTTTACCTCCATGTTCTGTAACTCCTCTCAGGAATAGAAACACTGGCTGAAGTTCAGCTCTTTGCTTTCAATAATGGCTTTTTAGTTATTGCAAAAGGAATGGAATTCTCTTTGCCTTTCTAGTTCAGTGTTAAAGTTGTATAACTCAGTGCTATACAGGTTGCAATCCCATTGTGCCTCACTACTGGAGAAGTATGATAGTGTTAATTGCTTTCCTTCTTTTTGTTTTCCATCCCTGCTTCAGGATCTTTCTGTCATGAAGGCATTGTGTAAAAATTAGAATTAGTATCATGGCCTGGTGGGCGAGTACTGTATATATCCTTTATAGATATATACCATGCTTGCTTCTTCTCCAACTATAGGCATTCAAAGAAATTCAGAAATAGAAAAACTACTAAGACCAGAATCCCCTGGAGTGGAATGATTCACACAAGAGTGTGGCACAAGCACTTCAATATTGTCATCATACATTCAAGGAAGTATTCAGTAATATATACTTGCTATTTTGGCACAAATAGGAATCTTTAAGTATTTGTGTATACACACACACAGAGAGAGAGAGAGAGAGAGAGAGAGAGAGAGATCTTGAAGCTGTCCTCGTTATTCTTAAAACTGGGTAAGAAATAGTGTTGATGACAAGCTATGGTAAAATGTGGCAACACAGAATAATTTGGCAGTGTGCCTATGTACTTTTGCTTCCACGTTTAAACACAACAGATTCACAAAGCTCCAGGAAGAGCCAAGAAGGAAACTATCTTGCCCCTCTATCATCACATTTATCTATGGTACAAGAACATGTTGCCTGAAAGAACTTTACATTTCTCAGTAAAATTAGCTACAGCCCAAACCTGGCAAACATCAGGTTCACTTCCCCACTTAGTCATGAAGCTCATTGGTGAATTTGGGCCTGTCACTGTATTTCAGCCTAAAACCTATGACATGGGATTATCATGAGGATGAAATGAGAGAAGGTAGAACTATGACTGCTATCTTTAGCTCCTTAGAAGAAAGACAGAATATATACATATATAATAAACTAATAGGAGAGAAGACTTGCCGCTGATGCCCTCTTGCACTCATATCTTTCTTCCATGTAGAAGCGGGGTTAGATTTTACATATCAACATACGGAGACTCCTTGTTCTTATTGACCCATGGGTTGATCGTTGTTTAGGATCTAGTCCAGCTACTGAGACTAGCAATCTCTCACCTAGATTTCTTGCAACAAGGAATCTTTACCAGTTCTGATATCACACTCAACACATAAGAACAACCTAAGAACTTATGACAAGTTGTGTTAGATCAGATCAAGGGCTTGTCTCATCCCTGTGACCAATCTGATGCTTCTAAATCCCACAAGCAGGCTATGATAGCAACACTGCTCAGTGTCCCACTGAGCAGAGAAATTGACAGGCCTCTGGATCCTAAGGCCAGCACAGACAACCACTGTGACCAACAAGGAGGTACAATCTTATCTTCCATGGATTTGCCAAATCCCTTTTCAAAGCCACCCATGTTGGTGGCTTCTCCAATTTCAAATAACAAATGCAAGATGGAACTTTAAAGATATACCAACAGGTTCAGACCTTCAGATATCTGGGGATCCTTTTCCACTTCCGGCAATCATGGAGCCCACACCGCAATTCTGCAATTGCATCCTCCTCCCTTTCCCTCAATGCAATCTCCCGTTTTCATTTCCACTCTGGCAACCAGTATGTCCCTGCTGCCATTAAAATCCTATATTCCAAGACATTCTCCCAATTACTCTATGGAGTCCCTATTTGGGTCGAGGCAGCAAACTCTGAAATTGACAAGGTGGCCGCCTCCTTTCTCAGGAAAATTCTTGGGATCCCCAATCTTATCAGACTCTCCACCATCATCCTAGAACTGGGTATCCACTTACCCTCTACCCTAGCCTGGACGATTACCTTCAAGTTCTGGCTCAGAATTCATCTCCTAACCCCTTCTAATTCAATCTTACAAGACCTATTAAAGGACCCTTTTATTCCCAGGTGGCTTCATTTCATTGAAGCCAAATTATCCTCACTATCTCTTTCTGTCGAAAACTTAGCCGACATGAACCTCCACTCAGCACATCAAACCATTAGGTCCAGCCTTTATGATCTCGAATATGCAACCTTATTCTCCCAAATGAACCCTACCTGTTCCCCTCTCGCTTTTGGCCTATCCCCCTCCCTCGGCCGTCCCTCTAACTACTTTAACCAACTGTCCAATCCTCAAAAAAGACGAGCTTTCATGCTCGCCAGGCTGAATATTTTCCCATCCGCAGCCCACTTCGGAAGATTCACAAGAACTCCTCGTTCCAATAGACTGTGCCATTTCTGTGCACTTGAACCTGACTCCCTGGATCACATTCTACTCCGGTGCCCAACTCACAATACCCCTCGCAAGCGACTGCTAGGACCACTTCTCTCTTCCCTCTCCCTCTCCTTCCCTGACCCTTCCCCCATACTACTGAGTGATTTCTCGACTTCTATTACCAATCAAGTAGCCGAATTCCTCCTCATTGTTACAAAGACCTCCCCCTCCCCATATCCCCACAAATTTTCTCGAACCTAACCTACTATAATCCCTAGCCTGCTCCCCCCTCTACCTGGAACTGGAATGTAACTACGCTGTGCACTCACTTGTATTTTATAATGCCAATAAAGGTTTATCGATGGATAGATAGATAGATAGATGAGAAGACCGAAAGCCAGCAAGCAGTGACTTACCCTGGGGTCTTTTTCCAAGTGAAGTTGGTGCTGAAGGCTACGTCGACTCCGGCCTTTGGGCAAGCCGTTATGAAAAAAGTGGTATGCATCCTCTATAAAGGGAAGCTGAGGAAGATATTGAACATAAAATGTGTTAGTGAGAAAGCTCACACTGACTGTCGTAAGGCTATTTAATTATATCAAACCAACAGTTGAATACGTAATGGGTAAAACATGCAATTGATGTTTAACAGTAAATAAAACATCCTTTCATTAAAAAGATCCAATAAATTTATAAAGGAGGATGCAATGAAAGAAAGTAAATGTTGCTAAGATCAAATTTCTGTCTTCCATTTCTGCTGATGCATACAGGGATGACACGGCGCATACAATAGCTTGCACCCCATGTATCCACCGTAAATAACTGATACTTTTGTAGTGCCAAAAATGTGGTTCTGGTGAAGCACAAGAGGTCAAGTCTTTTCCCATGGGAGCTTGCATTATAATCCAGGTCAGGGAAGCCAAAAGTGAATGTAAACAGGGGAGTTCAATTAAACATCTGCAGTTCAGAGGCAGTCTTGGCCCATCCATTCTACTCATCAGTTGCCACTAATAAGAACCCCATACAGTAAGTGTGTATGCTTATGCTGACATTGCTGATTGTCTGGTGGCCACTCCCCCACTTTAATTAAGTTAATCTTCTTTAGTCCTGCCCTTGTCCTACCAATCCATTTCAATGCAACATTGTCCTTGTGCCTTCACAATGCTGCATCAAGAGGATAATGGATGTTCTGTGCACAGTAGCCTTGACGCATGCAGCTGTATCAGTTTAATATTCAGAGTTTGCACATATAATTGATACATAAGTGGTATTCAGTGACTGAAATCCTGTTGCTTAGTGTAATAACTCACATTAAAGTAGTCTCACTGAATCAGTGAGGACTTGCTGAATCAACTCCTCCATCAGTTCCATTGATGCAAATAGGCTTACTCGTGACTTAAGTTGCAAGTAGAGTAGGCCTATTTAAATCAAAGGAATTTATGGTGACTTTGACTCATCCAATCCCCACTGATTCAATGGGACTACTCTAGTGCAGCTTATTGTGCTAAACTGCAGGATTCCAGCCATTCGTTCTTTCTCCTAGGACAAGATATGTTAAGCTTATTGCTCATGTCCATAGGACTGACTGAAGACTTTCCATAATTTAGCACCAATTTATGGCTGGTCATAGGGGGCACATGGTGGCACTGTGGGTTAAACTGCAGAAGCCTCTGTGCTGCAAGGTCAGAAGACCAGCAGTTGTAAGATCGAATCCACGTGACAGAGTCAGCTCCCATCGCTTGTCTCAGCTCCTTCCAACGTAGCAGTTTGAAAGCATGTAAATGCAAGTAGATAAATAGGTACCACCATGGTGGGAAGGTAACAGTGTTCCATGTCAAGTCGCACTGGCCACGTGACCATGGAAACTGTCTACAGACAAATGCTGTCTCTATGGCTTGGAGACGAGGATGAGCACCACGCCCTAGAGTTGGACATGACTGGACTAAAAGTCAAGGGGAACCTTTACCTTTATGGCTGGTCACATAGAAGCTCAAAAGCTGAAAATTTCAGCTAAGTATTTATAATCAGGCTGTGCAAAAATGAGATAATGTTGAAATCAGTGCAAAATGTGGTATGTTCCACCGTGCCTTTGATTTTTCCTTTTGAAGATTTGGAACTTTGTGCAGATGTGTATTTATAGTTTGTAAAATTAAATTAACTTAAAAGCTACACTTTAGTAATAAATTTAAACTAATTAGGAATTCTAAAGACATTACTTCTGTAATCCCCAAAATATGCAAAAACAATGAATGGCATTCCTGAAAGGCTCAACCTTTATTGTTAGAAGTAACATATTGAGACTCTTCCAGGAGCAGATTGATTTAGTTAAAGGTTGTTGATATTGTTCTGTCCTGTCAAATTACTTCCAATGTATGGCAATACTAATGCTGTTGTTCTTTTAAGTATTTGGAATATTGTACAACTGGTTTGCTATTGCCAACCTGTGGTGAGTTTTAGAGCTAAGAGGGTGTGTTTTGAACCTACATCTCCTGAGTCTTACTGCAACATTTTATTTACAAGTAAAAAGTTAAAGATAAGCAGCTTAGTTTTCACTGAAATTATCCAATCCTTGGACAAATGTAATAACAAACAATACAGAAAACTTTAAATGTATAGCATAGAAAAATGCATATACTCTCACCTTTGGTTAAATGCTGTAAAAGGAAACAACTACAAAAATGGTTGTTGTGGGTTTTTCGGGTTCATTGGCCGTGTTCTGGAGATGCCGGCACATCAGGAAGAACAACCTTCAGAACACGGCCAAAGAACCTGAAAAACCCACAACAACCATCAGATCCCGGCTGTGAAAGCCTTCGAAAAACTAGGAAAATATTTATTTATTTTTGTTTATTTATTTATTTAAAATACTTTTATCCTGCTTTTCTCTTTAAAAGAATCCAAGGAGGCTTACATCATTAAAAAGACAATATGTAGAAGCTAAAATCAGTAGGTATACAAATACTAAAGAAGAATTAATGTTACATTAAAAACAATAACCAATTCAGTACTAAAACACATTTAATACAACAGAGCACAACCATTAATTTTTTTAAAAAAACCCTCTCAGACAACCAGTTATTAAGGGAAAGTCTGCCTGTACAGTTTCTAATGCCAAATGTAAATAATTCTCAATGCAATATTTAAATTAATCCCATTAACCCAATCTTTCCAATTTGAGTAGGCTAGAAGTATGGTAACACATAGTTTTCCCTACCATTGGCTGTTCAACTCTTCCCTCAAAATCTCTCTCTTTTTGTAATAAACAAGTGGTATACCAAACCCACAAGGTATCTTGCTTATTACTGCTTCTTTAGGGTAAAGTCACCCTGGTGTGCAAGATACGCCTGGCACCTTTTTTGTACCCCACTTATCCCACACTCCAAAATGCCTGTGAAATGGAACACTGGCAGAGACTTTACCTCTACATAGTGAGAGGCTGAGAAGAAAGCCTCTTTGCCCACAGTCAATATATTGTAAACACTTCATTTTGCATGATTGTCTTTGTGGAGGGGGCAGGTGCACATATTGTGTCTCAGCAGGGCTTTGCCTAATGAAGTAGGATGTACTCCATGAGAACTTTGTTAATCTTTGGCCAGAATGTTGGTGCAGCTCTGCACATACAAGGCAATTGCAATGTCAACTGTGGCCTTTTATCTTTAATTAAAATTTTCCTATTTCCCCCTTTCCTCAGGCTCTGAGGCTCCCTCGGAATCCCTTCTGACCTGGATGAGCTTTTGTGGGCCTCGGGATTGTGAGAAGAAGCTTTTAATGTTCAATGTTTTAATGTAAAACATTAAAACATTAATGTTTTAATGTACCAGCAGGACAGGGACTGGCAGCAGTGACTTTCAGATGTTAAATCCCCTCCTGTTCTCCGTGTCCTAGGTCCCCAAGCCTTCTCCAGATGAAAAGGGATCCTTCTCCTCAGAACATGAGGAGAGGAGGAATAGAAAACTTTGAATTAAAGATAAAAAGCCATGGCTGGTGATGTTTGAAAATCCTTCTTGTTCCAACAGGATACCAACCACTAAAATGTTAAAAAACTTCTTTTCATTTTTTTTTTCTTTCAACAGACTAATACAGTCAACTCTGGAAAACTCTGAACATAACGTATTAGTGACTGGTGTATATTCCTGGCATCTGTAGAAGAATGGCACCGGACCAAATGTCACAACATTCATAGAAATGTGCAAAACACCCATCCCTCTCCAGAATATTCTGAGAGCTTTTGTTTTGTTTTGTTTTGTTTTCAGTATTACCTAATTGCAAATTCTAGCAAGGGAGGGATGAAATCACAGTGATGAAATTTGTTTGGCACCACCACAGTGCTAATCTCTGCCCCAGAACAAAATATACTAGCCTTCAGAGGAAGGAACAGAAAATATGCAAAGACATGGATTTTGTAGTCTTACATTGCCTGAATGGCAGGCAAAATAACTCGGACAGATACCTTTGGGAGAACAAACACCCCATTTGAAACAGTTCTGAGAATCAGAAATAAGCAACTACTGTTTCAACAGTACATTATTAAAGGGTCTGAAGTATTTCATGCAGATATGAGCCTCCTTGGAAGAAGCTTTTATCTAATGAGTTTTGGACCTAACTCCTGGTAAGCCCTGTGCCCTCTCCAGTGAATGAGGAAGAATTAGTGTGACAGCCTCCTCACACATCACAAAGGAGGTGCCACGTCACTCTCACACACTCACTCTATTCACGCTGCCACCAACCATTCCCTCAAATGACTCTTCAGACTAATAAATGATTTTGAAAATAAAAACTTGTGTTTATTGGTTATAACAAAAGGAATGGTAAATCACTTTAATAACTCAAATAATAAGGCAATGAATGTAATAAAATATCACTCACTCACACACTCTCTCACAGACCCTCACTATATAGCACAGTTCTTCACAATAGGAACAAACCCTAACACCCTAACCGGTCCCTAACCAGTCCCTATCTAGTCCCTATCTAGTCCCTATCTAAAGACTCACACCCATTCACTCCCCTTATATACACTGGCTCCACCCCTTATGTCCCACCTTCCGTCACGCTATTGGCAGATGACATGCCTCTACAGCAATGACGGACAGGTGGCTTCCAAGCTACCGTAACAATTAGAAGAAAGTCAAATGGAATTTTCCCCTCGTCTTGAAGAGTCCTCACGCTGAGAACATTAGAATTATAGATCTATGAAACCTGTTTGCTCACATTTCACATTAAATGTATTTCATGAGATTAACTTCTGAATTTATCTGCCTTGGGCAGAACTTCTCAGATTTTAAACTTACTGGTTTGGGCAGGATAATGGGCCCAGGCAGTCTGATTTTTGCTTCTTAATAGACCAGGGCAAAGAATACTTTTATCTATTGTTCAGTTCTTGAGAAAGACCCAAGAAAGATTAGGAAACTCAGCTGAGTAGTTGCTATACATGCCTCTTTGCCCTACTGCCCAACCTAAAGATGTGTAATCTAAATAAGACATGGGAATGAATTTTAAAAAGAATCACGATATTTGTGAAATA